CCCAAACCCTCAACCCTCAACCCTAAACCCAAAGCCTCAACCCTAAACCCAAAATCCTAAACCCTAAACCCAAGCAAGAAGAACCCAAGATGCCAGGGACTCTACGCAAGAACTTAAAAACCCAACCTCTCAGGGTAGTTTCATGGTCCCTTAGTATGGGCCGTCAAAAAGGGTAGCCCTCATATGCCCCTTCTATACCCTATACAAATTAAGGGCCCATGGCCCATACATCAGAAGAACCCTTTAAAGAGGTTAGGGACCATGACCACACTAGGGGGCTCAAGCTTTTGCATACCTTTTGGGGGTATGGGGATAAGGATGTTCCAACTTTTTTCAGGGTTTACTGCAGGGTTCAGGGAACCCCCACAAACCCAAACCCCCCAAAAAAAACTTGCTTGGGTGCCCCAGTAGCGCTATTATACTGACTTTAATGAGGGCAGCCTTTCTTCCGTTGGTTACTTTAACTTTGAACCCAAAAGGGGGAACAGGGCACCACTGGGCGACCAAGCTTTTGAACCCAGACGCTTGACCACAAAGCCTAAAACCCCAAACCCCTAAACCCCTATACCCCTAAACCCCTAAACCCCCTAAACCCCTAAACCCCTAAACCCCTACACCCCTAAACCCCTAAACCCCTAAACCCCTAAACCCCAAAACCCCAAAACCCCAAAACCCCAAAACCCCAAAACCCCAAAACCCCAAAACCCCAAAACCCTAAAACCCTAAAACTCTAAACCCTAAACCCTAAACTCCTAAACTCCTAAACTCCTAAACTCCTAAACCCTAAACCCTAAACCCAACTTCTCTGGCCTTCGAGCCGGGCCATGCCTGACGAAGGCTTAGGGAGATGAGGCCCAGGCATTGAAGGTCAGGGTTTAGGGTTTAGGATTTAGGGTTTAGGGTTTAGGGTAGGGGTTCGGGTAGAGGTAAGGGCCCAGGGCTTACCATAAGAATCCGAAACCTAAGTTTTTTTTGGCAGGTTCCTGCTCCAAAGTTCCCTTCTAGGATTCTAGGTAACATACAAAAGTTAGGCTTTGGTAGGGTCTAGAGGAGTTCGTCCTTGCTTGCCACCTGAGCTAGGGGGACTAGTATCTCTCTTTTTGGGGCTTCTTAAGCATGTAGTGGTAAAGACCGCATGACCGTTCAAATGCTTTGGGTGCCCTAGGTAGATCAGGCGGCTTCCCCGGCAGCCTGAACCCCGGAACCCGATCAAGCTGACGTCGGAGAATCCCAACTCATGACCCTTATAAGGATTTTGGAGCGGGGTTCAGTTCTTAAGCAAATAGTAGTTTACAGGGCTACTTCGGAGAAGTGCCCAGAGAGACCTGAAACTCATTTCAAAGCAACCCACTTCGTAATAGGTCGTTAGAGTTTGGGCTCTTGGCAGCCCAGGATACCCAAGCTAAAGGCTCTACTACTATTCGCTTCAGAACCCCCGCAAAAGTCAAAACACATTCTTCCTTACAAGGGCAACATAGGGACCATTGTCTTTGATTCTTTGGGGGGGGGGGGGGTGGGGTTAGCAGTTAAGGGCTTAGGATCTATGATCTTTCATTCTTTGGGGGCTCTTAAGCAAAGAGTAGTTTAGGGTTTAGGATCCAGGGCCCTGTTTTCGACCTTCTGCCCCAGATTCCAGCTCCCGAGCCGACATAGTTTAGGGTTTCGACTCTCGCACTCGCACACGGCCGGGAGGGTTTAGGGTTTAGGGTTTAGGGTTTAGGGTTTAGGGTTTAGGGTTTAGGGCGCATGGATCGGCTTGGACCGACAGGCGTCTGAACCCTTGCTAGCTTGGCCCTTTCCTAGATACCAGCATAAAATATCCTAAGGGCCTACCTACCTCGAAATCCGAAGCCCAGAGCCCGCCACATGTTCACTTCTCCCAGTTGTGGTCCCTTTTGGGTCACGATTGTAAAGGTTGCCTCTACTATGCAGGGTGCCCCAAAAAACGGACCTTCATGTTTAAGATCTGTCCACATGGGCGCTTTCGATATTAGGGGTACCTTATCGGAATCCTTATTTTAAGGTGATCCTACCTTTTGGGGGTGTAAACCCTAAATCCTAAACCCTAAACCCTAAACCCTAAACTCTTTAGGGGTCCCCCATTTTCTTCGTAACCCCCCCCCCCCCCCCCCCCCCCCCCCCCCCACAAGGGGCCTTCCGGAAGTCTGCAAAAGCAAGGCGGTAGGTCGGCCACTCTTTCATGCGCTCCACCTCTTCAGGTCCGAGCTTGGGGCTCCAAGAGCTTCGAGAGTCTAAAGTTTAGGGTTTTAGGGGCCTAAACCCTAAACCCTAAACCCTAAACTCTGCAGTGCTTCGGGTCTGGGGACTCAGGAAGTGCTGGGCATCCCAAGTCCCAAGCCTAAGCCCTATAAAGTTAGGGTTTAGGGTTTAGGGTTTAGGGTTTGGGGGAACACCCTCCAGGGTATAGATAGAGTTCATGTATAAGGCGTACATGTAGGGCTTTTCGGAGCCTGTGAGGGTAAGGATCGGGGTGTCTAGACGGCCTAGAGGTCTTGGGCTTTCTATGTAACCCTCGGGTTCAGGAAGAGAGCCCACGAACAGAGCCCCCCAAACCCTGAGAACCCTTCAACACCCTAAACCCTAAACCCCAAACCCCAAACCCTAAACCCTAAACACTAAACCCTAAACCCTGAACCCTGAACCCTAAACCTTCATGCTTCAGGGGCGGAGTGTTCCCAGGCAGAAAGAAACATCGCAAGGCTTCTACTCAGGGCAAGAGAAAGGTGCTCTGAAGATTAATTGCAAGAATGCTTTCGAGGGGTACGTGGGGCATCCACAGAATGCGACAACCTTCAACCCTGACCCTAAACTTCCCCTGAACCCTAAACCCTAAACCCGAAACCCTAAACCCTCCTTACTGGATTCCGGCATGTGTGGAGGCTCCACCTTCTCTAGGGCGCAGTTGCACTCCATGCGGTTCTCCGTCGTGCCCCAGAGCTGCTGCACGGGCTCCTGCAGCCCGTTCTGAAACGGCTTAGGGCTTACCCTAAGGGTCCATGTACCGACATAGTATATGCGTGCGTCTTAAAGGGGTTGCTGTATGTATATAGTATCTGCGAACATGGACCCTTTGGGTTATAGGGGTTAGGAGCCTATAACCCTAAACTCCAATCCCGGAAGTCTACATAGACGCTTCTACCCGACACCCCGCTTTGCAGGCACCTTCTTTTCGGGCAAGAAAAGAAGGAAAATACTGCAAGAATGAAGTGAGCTACCCCAAAAGACCCCAAAAGAAAGGGTTTGGGTGTAAGCCTCTAGGTATACCGAAGTTGCAAAACTCTGAAGCCTAGACCCTAACCCCTTTTGGACTACTGCGCTCCGGAAGGCCCCTAAACCCTAAATCCTAAGCCCCGAAATCCTAAGCCCCTAAACCCTAAACCCTAAACCCTCATCCCGCAAGCCCAAAATGATTAAAGCAACCTTATGCTGGCAGAATGCGCTCGCCCACAAACTCCAGCCAACACCTTCCCAGAGAAACCACGACACCCAAAGACAAAACCCTAAACCCTAAACCCTAAACCCTAAACCCTAAACCCTAAAAACCCTAAAAACCCTAAACCCTAAACCCTAAGCCCTAAGCCCTAAGCCCTAAGCCCTAAACCCAAACTCTAATCTCTACACTCCCGAAGCTCTGAACCTAAAACTCGAAGCCCTGAACCCCTTCAATTAACTCCCTTGAGCCTGCAGAAGCCCTTGGCAGGACATAATCACGGTATCCGTTTGGGGGGTGGGTGACTGAGGGACCCTAAGCGCTGCAGCAGGGATAGGGTTTAGGGTTTAGGGTTTAGGGTTTAGGGTTTAGGGTTTAGGGTTTAGGGTTTAGGGTTTAGGGTTTAGGGTTTAGGGTTTAGGGTTTAGGGTTTAGGGCTCCAAGCCCTCAACCCCGAAACCCCCTCCCCCCCCCTCCCGGATTTCCGGGACTGCAAAGACTCCCTACTGTTCTTGTCGTACATGACGAGGTTGTTTTCCAGCCTCGGGGCGATTGAGGGTTCAGGGTCTATCGGGGTCAGGGTTTTTTTAGGGGTTTAGGGTTTCGGGCTTACAGTACACTCCAGAAAGTTGGAACTTGCTTTAAGGACGATTAGAGCTTGCAACATCCTTATCCTCATACTCAAGAGCTT